TTACTTAATGGAAACACTGCAGTTGTGAAACTGTGTTTTTTACATTAACAGAATATCGACAAAGTTTTGTGCACATTTGGAATGGAAACACAGCTAGTAATATCTTCAGCTCTGTAAAAATAAATTATATATTTTTTCATATAGTTTATCAAAAGGACTTCAAATTGACCTCTGTCTTTTTAATAACCTCCTACCATTTCTGACACTCCCACTTGAGCATGTCTTCACAACATTGGGTGAGGAGTGCTCTGTAGGGTGCGGCCTCCTGCAGACTGAGCTCCGGGGAGGAGCTTTGTGTAAATAGGCGGAGCTTTGTAGCAGCAAGTGTTTAGTCAGCTCCACATGCATGAATGAGTCAAAGCAACACTCTGGGTATGTTTTTGATGAGGGGGGTGACATATCATGATATAAAGCTCAAAGAAGTCAAGTTTGTATAATAGCCCTCCTTTAAAAGTTTGACAAAATTTGACCACAGGAGTGAAAGTCCTGTCTAAAATACTAACAATTAGTCAGGTTGTTGTTTGTCAGACTGTGGGCTAAAAAATAATATGTTTCATCTGACTGTTCAGGAAACTATAGAGGTTAAAAAATATGTAATTTCAAGGTAGAAATGATTATATCAGATGTTTTCCTGCAGGCCAGAGCTTTCCTCTGTGGTTGGCCTGAAGGGCTGCGTGAAAGGATTTCAGTTCCAGAAAAAATACTTCAACCTACTGGAAGAGCCTGGCACCATTGATATCAGCAGCGGCTGCCCAGAAGAGTCATTTGTAAGTATTGTTTTAACCAACTCACACCTGTCGTAAACACTGTTACACACCTGAGCCCTGATAAAAACAGGAGGTGCTGAAGGTGAAACGTTGTGTTCTCACAGATGTCTCGTGAAGCTCACTTCACTGGTGAGAGCTACCTGGGATCCACCGCAAAGATTTCACCATTCGACAGCTTTGAGGGAGGCCTGAACTTCAAAACACTTCAGCCCAGTGGTCTCTTGTTCTACCACAGTCAGGGGGTAAAACACCTGGTCTACACACACACACACACACTTGTATTTCTATCCTTATTAGGACCGTGTATTGACTTCCGTTCATTTCTGTAGCCTAACCCTTTTTGTGTGTCTTCAGTCTAACGAGTTCAGCATCTCCCTGGAGAATGGAGCAGTGGTTCTGAATAACAGAGGAACTAAAGTCAAATCAGAGAAGAAACACTACAGTGATGGAAGAGCTCACTTCTTACTGGCTTCAGTCAACAATCAGAAGTAAGTATTTAAACTGGTGCCAGCTGTTTTTAGAGCAGATCTGTTGGGTTTACCAAGACTTGAATCTGGCCTCTTCCTGCTTCCTTTACTTTGTATCTGTTTACAGCTAATAAAGGAGAGCTTCAGGATGTGTGATCCAGTGGTGGGCACAGTTCCGCTAATATTTATATATAAGTTCCACTTGTTTTAAGTTCACAAAAATAACCTCACATGTGTAAAACTTCTACTTTTATGCCATTTGTCCTGAATTAATAAGAGCTATCTTATCACAATCAAAAAGAAAAAATCAGTAG